TTGAGCATGTCATATAATACTGCACTGTACTGCCAGTGAGTGCCGGTGCCCTCACCCACTGATCCACTGACTGTGTGTTCATTGCATTGAACGGTGTATTGAATAGTGTAGTGAAGTCTGTCGGAGTGGAGTGCAGGGAGTGCACCGCCAAACACCTCTACACCGGTCTCACAGACTCTCTCTCTCTGTCTGACTGACTGCCACACCTCTACTAAGTAGTGATAATCTCTTTTGTGACAAACAGTGAATCAGTGATACAGTGACTGACTGTTTGACTGTTTGTCTCATTTGAATGAATGGCTAATCGTTTGCAATGATCTGACAATTAATAGCTTTAAATTGAGTGACGAGTGATTGAATGAGCGGTGGTTTACACGTTGTTAACAGTGATGACAGTGAGTGCTATTGATCTGTGAGTGCACGAAACAGTCCTGTCTGTCATACACCACAAGTCATACCCCTTTGAGAGCCTATTGTCACACAAACTAATCGGTGGTACGACTGGTGTGTGAGATGTCCCGCAATAATGATAACCAGAGCTTCAGTCAGACCTATAAAGTAATGTCCATTTGATTGCTTCTCACATGCATTCACACTAACTCTTTGATTATCACCCAATGGTGCAGTTGGTGGTCGTCGGGGGCGGAGGCGTTGGCAAGTCGGCGCTTACCATCCAGTTCATTCAAGTATGTCACCACCACTACCTTGCTCACTTGTGCCCATTTATGAGCATTTGTTCACTTTACATGATAGTTATCACATGTTTTACTAAACGCTATGATATTTGTGTTTTAAGACACGTCCTAAAAATGATTACAATTTTTTAATTTTTTAAAACATTTATAATGAATATATAATTTTGTCTCCAATTTCTGGCATTTGAGTGCCATTTGAAGTCCCAAATAATAATATGAGACAAACTTAGCATTTTTTGCATTATAAGGTCGTTAAATGTAGTATAAAATGAATGAATTATAAAAAATATAATCATTTATTTTGTTTGCTATAAAAGAGTGATAATAAAGACACGACTCATTGAATAGAGAGTTATATAACTTATATTACAGTTATTGATGTTATATAGTGTATGGAAACGATAGCATAGATTGCAATCACTGTCTCTGCAATACATGGAAAAAGTGTTTGATTGTAATGAATGTGAAATGTTTGTGTTTATAATGTTTAGTCATATTTCGTCACTGATTACGACCCGACTATTGAGGACTCGTATACCAAACAGTGTGTCATCGATGATGTGGTCGCACGGCTCGACAGTCTGTCCATTATTTACATTAATATTTTTGATACCTTTCCCTTTAAAAGTTGTCAAACAATTACAAATGCATTGCAAACTATATTTCTTGTATCATATATTCTGTGCTCTAACCACTCTTAACTTATTTAACACTTAAGTCAATATCTATTACCATTTCTTAAGCTAATCTATTATTTTTTAATACCATTTCACTGATTAATCAAATAAGTCATTGAAAACAAATACTCAATTACTCTTACAAGTTCACTTAATTTCAGAGCAAATTGAAAGTTATTTATTGAATCTATACTTTTGATATAAGTTAGTATATCTAGCTAAATATTGCATACTTTGCCATAAAATGACTATTAATTGGACATAGAGTTAGAATTATGGCTTATACGTAAAATAAGTTATATATTAATATAATAGAGTATTTTTGTAGTAAATATAATATATCGTAATAGTTTTATTAAATAAAATTGTCGAGTAAATGCTATTTTGAAGTAGTTACCATACTATTAGCAAAAAATACTGAAATGTTATGCAACCTATGGTAATGGCATTCATTATTAGATTTTTAGATGTAATCCTAGAATTGCAAAAAGCAAACAATTTGATGCAGTAATTGAAATATTGGGGTAATGTTTATGAGACCTTTTCATATCATATCTATCACTAAATCTGTTGTCAAATCTATTTGTGGAGTCAGACTTGAAAACTATTATTGAATCTGAATGAAATTTAACGATTTCTTATAGGGATGTATAGGGAATTAAAGTTGTTTTTCCTAGATTTAGTCACATATCATATCAATAAACTTCAATCACATTTTATTTGAATTATTTTTATTGAGTTTTTGGGTAAATTAGCTAAACGTGAGTTCACTCGCTAATTGATAATTAGAGGCAAAATGATATCGAAATGCAATCTTTTTAGTACTAAACTAACAGTAATTATATTAATTAGAAAACCAATCCTTATTTAACAACGATTCTCCACTCATTAAAAGTTTACATTCAATTGAACACAAATTGATTTGATTTGAATATTAAGTAATAGTTTGTTAAGACATCGCTTTTTTGACTGTTTGACCACTTTTGAAACAAAATTCTTTCGAAATGATTGCTTTGATTGAAAAAAGATTTTAAAATTTTAATAAATGAATATTTCAAATGAAATGAACGAACAGTTTTGGATACCGCCGGACAGGAAGAGTTCAGGTATTTCTGAATCACTTGCGTTGTGTTTGACTTTTAAACATATAATTGAATTCATGTTAAATACAGTGCAATGAGAGAGCAATACATGCGTTCCGGGGAAGGGTTTCTATTAGTGTTTTCGTTGACCGACAGAAACAGTTACGAAGAGATCTATAAGTTTCACAAACAGATCCTTCGCGTCAAAGATCGGGACGAGTTTCCCATGATGTTAGTGGCCAACAAATGTGATCTCGAACACCATCGTGTGGTCAGTATCTCTTACCCCACACCCACTGCATTGCCTATTATCTAATGACACTGTCTTATAGGTGTCGCAGTCAGAAGTACATCAATTGGGCCAACAGTTGAAGATTCCGTACCTGGAGTGCAGCGCAAAGCTGCGGATGAATGTGGACGTGGCCTTCCACGACACCGTCCGACTTGTTAGGTATGAGTGCCACCACTCGTGAGTGTAAATACAATTGTGACCATTGATTGTGTGATTGTCAGGAAATTCCAACAACTGGAACGCCCGCCCATACGACCCATGAAGAAGCAGAAGAATAAGAAGAATTGTCTAATCCTTTGATCGCATTCTTAACCATTTTTTTTATTAAATTTATAATATATTAGTTGATTAGAAAATTATTACTGTAATATCATTCAATGTTTCGGTGCTTTTCAAGACTCATTTATATATTGATATTTGTTTTCAATTTGTATTTATAATCGATGAAATTGTAAATATTATTACATTTCATAATCAAAAAATATTGCCATAAACTGTGGACAACTTTTAATTGCCATAGAAATCGTAAAAAGAGATTCCAATAATTGTTTAGAATATTATTGTTTATATGAATTCGATTTCTAAGTGCCATTCAGTGCCTTATATGTTATTATCACAAAGGAATGGCTCGAAATATATATTTAAAATATATCTGTTTATATCACAATTTATTCTATCAAGTAAATACATATACAATAATTAGTTTTTAGTGAAACTGTAATCAAACTGTGTTGCATTACATTACATAATACTGTATGTGCCTATTATTGATATTATTTTTATTGTTATTCTATATTTTATAATCAATTCTCTTTTTCCAGTAAATATTAATTTTATGGAATAATTAAAGTATAAAAACAGTTATTAATTGACTGTAAAAAAATTTTAATTACTTTTATTAACATTTATTCCGTTTATATAACTTTATTTAAGCATTTATTAATAAATGTTAAGAATATGTGTTTTTAAAAACTGAAAGTTATTTATTTCTGTCTAAATCCTAATCAGGAAATCAAAAATTTATTTTTAAATTATTTTCTTTATCTCAATTCAAATCGAGTGAACAGCAAAAAATTGAATTTGAAAATATACTGGTACAGTATACCATTTTTGCATCATTTCATTTGCAATGATTCCTATTTTCAATGCATTTTACTTTATATGTGTTACAGCTCTATATCTATACCGGTTGACTTTCATTTGTCCTAATGTTTAGTATATTATAAATTATATTACTATAAAGTTTTGTCTAAATAAAGGCTCATTCAAAACATTTGTATGTACTCGTCAATGGAAGTGCGTGGAAATCAATCAAATTGTATCCAATTTCCTAGGTGCTATTGAATTATAAGATTTCAATTTTTGCATAATACACCAGTAAAATTAAATTAAATTTACTTTAACTTTAGTTTTCCTAAATTACAGTATCTAACAAGTTTGAAAACCTTTTTAAACTTTTTTAACTAAAAGTAGACTATAATATATATTGCAGTAACTTACTGTGTATTAGTGTACAGATTAAGTCTTACAAGTCTTAGTTAATAGTAAAAACTTATTACTTTTGAATATATTACTGTTAAAGCCATAGAAAATACCATATCTTAGTTGTTTAATATAGCTGTGTAATTTAAATTAACCTAAAACTTCAAAGAATTTTTATCTTCATTAAAATATATTCATAATTCAGACTTAAAACAAATAGCTTAATTTTGCGAGTAAAGTGGTATCATTTTAATCATGTATTGTACAATTGCAAATATTGACATTATTTAGGAACAATTTAATTATGATTTGTATAAAATAATTAAACAAATCATTTTTTGGGTTAAGCGAGGGTTGCGTTGACTCAACAAAACTAATGAATTGTATGTCTCTAACGACTAGAGTCTAACCTCACTTCGATTGTATCCCACAATTTGAATCCTCCCTCCAATTACTCGATTAGAAATTATTGTCTGAAATACAATTGTTTTTTGATTTATGAAAAATACTTTTACATGAAATTGTTTGTTGTTTTGTTGCCAAAGAAGAGTCATTCACCACATCGGAGCACCGGTTCGTCTCACAACGGCTTTCGATGAAAACTACAAGAAAAAGATTTTGTAAATTTTTCTGTTCAACACTATTCTATGTGTTAATTAAGTTGGGTTTGGGTTCGTGCGAAAGCAAAGCAAAAAAGCGGTCCAACCTCTGGGCTCCTCAGCCGTACTTTAACTCTTAATGTATTGATAATTCAAAAGGCGTTTCAGACAAAACCATTACTTGTTTTTTATTTTAGTTTTTTCTCTTAAATACATTTTCTTTTGATATTAAAAGTGAATAATATGTTAATTTATTTTACATTTTCGTGGTGTACAATAATTTTTTTGTTTATTTATTTTTTCATTTCGATTTTTCAATGAAATTGACGGAAACTTTTAGTATTTTATTTTATTTTAAAAGTAAAATCAATAGATATTTTAGGCTTAAATTATGAGGTATATTAAGTCACATTTATATTTATTAATTTTGACTTTTAGTATTAAAAGATTAAAATGTTGAGATAAAGAGGGGGTATGAGGGTAGGGAAGTCCACGAAGGAAAGGGGTATGCGATACCATTTATATTGCTTATATCAGATAATAGAGAAGTTATGTTTTGCATATTTAAGTGAAAATATTCGGGAAATGATTTAAATTTTAATCTCAAATGTCAACTATAGTCTAACTTTAGGTTTACTTTATTTAATAAAAATAATTTGTAAAAATTATATTTTTTGCTATTTAATTTACATAACATTTTATTTGTCAACATAACTGTATTTAATTTTTACATTTTATACAGGGTGATTATAAACACTGATTACTCTATGACCATAGATCCTTGACTGCTTCCTATTTAAACAGTTTAATATTTTTATAATATTTAATTATATACTTTCTATATCTAAGAATTAAAAAAGGTAAAATTAGAATTTAATTTTAAATATAATGTAATTTAGCAAGGATATATTTTGATCAAAATTATAATTTAAAATTCTAGTCAAATAGTAAAATGTCATATCATATTGTACATTTTTATGAGTTAGGCATTTCAATCAGTATATTAATTTATTTAGTTATAGTATATGACAAATATATTCAAATATATTTGTAACTAACCAAAATCATTGAGACAAACAATAATTCTATATTAATAACTTATAAACTATTAATACTTACCAACTTATCAAGTTACATATCATTTTTGATTAATATAAATAATTTTTGGAAATTAATATTTAACAAGTATTATTTATTGAGACTTTTGTGTTTTAATACTTTATTAATTATCGACGAAAAGGATTATTTAAGTATTATTTAAATTATTAATTTAAATTAATTTAATAATAAGGTTTACTATAATTTTAGACAAATAGTCAACAAATATTTTTTGCGATGACTTATGTTTATCATAAAATTGTTTTGCATTTAATTTAAGGAAATATTCGGCCCTTATTTGCATTGCAGTCATGATATCATAGAAACAAAAAATATTTTTCGTAAGGAAGAAGAAAGCTCTCTCTCTCTTGTCATACATACGGTATAGGAATTGAATTTCATAAGTGCTAAACAAATTAATTCAGAATATATTTGAATCTCACGGAGAGAACCGTAAGAATAGCTCACAATAAAGTTCACTGAGACTAGCGATGCCATCAGATTATACCACAAATTCAATGATTAATTACTATATCTTACTCTCAACACACTCTTCATGGAGAGAGAGAGAGAGAGA